TGTGTTAACTTGGGAAGTGCTTGTGCTCACTCACTCCTGCCTTGAGTGAGCAGAACACAGCACGTGAGGGTCCCTCAGGTTTTCTGGGCAGTGTGTGGTGGCTCATCCTCATGGCAGGGGATTGAGGGGTTTAAGGCAGCTGTGGGGAGGTCACTGGTGCATTTGCCATGCAGGAGGAGTTTTGTCCCCTTGGCCCAGACGAGTTGCCAGGAAGGAAAATGTACAGCTGGCATAACTCCATCCTGAACTGTTTCCTCTGAGGCTGAAACATCTATAGAGTAGTTCTGTAGAGTATAGAAACATCTACAGAGTAGTTCTACAGAGTGTAGAAACATCTTCAGAGTAGTTCAGGAGAGCAAGAAGGTTTCAAACATGAGGTTTGGCCCTGTTTTAGGTTCTGGACTCTCAGTGCTGTTGCTTATAGTTAAAACTTGAAACTCAAAGGCCAAGGTGGTCACTTGGGTGTTCCTGTGTCCCTGTGGGGTTGATGTGAAGAGCAGCAGAGGGGCTGCAGGGTGTCCTGGGCTGTGTTCAGTGTTCCCACAGTGCCAGAAGGTGCCCACAGTGCAGCTGGGAGCTGTTCCCAGCCCTGGCTTTGCTCTGCTGAGCCGAGCCTTAGTCCTGGTCCCGGCTGGGCTGTGGGAGCTCTTGTTCTCCCTGCTTGGTGGCTGTGGGGCTGTGTTAGCTCAGGAGTAGGTTTGGTTTTGCCCAGGGTGCTGTTTGCTGCCCTGCCTGACGTTGTCCTGTGTTGTTGTTGCAGTATTAGCATCACTACCTCTTGCTACCCCCTTCCTTCGATCTGCTTCCGAGACCCCGTGAGCGACTGGTTCGAGAGCCTGGCCGAGTGTCTGCACTGGAACGTGAGGAAGAAGCAAAACAACTTTGCTGTGGAGGAAGAGGAATTTTGAGTGTCTACATCTCCCCAGACCCGTGGGAATGGAGTGTGGCAGTATCCCTTCTGTCTGCTTGGGTTTTGAAGCCTTTGGCTGCCAGCGTGGACCTGCACTGTGGTTGTGGTTTTATATCTGGGAATTTTGTGTTACTGCTTCCTGTGCAACCAAGGGTAGGGATGGAAGAAATCGGGCTCTGGTTGTTGTAGTCCAGGGTGAATTTCCCTCTGGAAAATGGATTCTTTCTGATTTGAGACCGACAACCACATCTGCAGCTTTGATTGTAACCTCTCCCTTACCAAGGGCATGAATGTAGATACACCCCAGGAGAGTGGCATTAAAACAGCCTGGTTTATTTGGTATATTTGTAATTCCATTGAACAGTGCTACGAATATAAAGGCTCTAAGAAGTTTTCTTAAAAAAAAAAGAGGATAATCTCCTCTTTGTTAGCTTAAATACATCTGGCCCAGAAAACACTCTCTTACTCTCAGATGTGACACGCTGAAGAAACACCCCTGGAGGATGTTTTTTATTGATAGATGGAACTAGCACAAAAAAGTATATATTTTTTATGCATACATTTATGTCTCTTGTGCCCATTTGAACAGTGGCTGACCCTTGGCTGTCAGCACTGTGGAAACACCCACAAATATTATTAGTTATTGCAGATATCTCTGGGTTTGTAGCTGAGCTGCTTTAAGAGCAGTTCCTGCTGCTGGGAATCATCCACGTGTTGTGTTTTTCTAATTCTTTTTGTTTGATTCCCTGGAACAGCATTAGAGACCACCACGTTTTTTAAAACAAAAAAAAAAACATCCTTCAAGTGTTCAGGAAGAATCTGGACTTCAATTGCTACAACATTGTCTAGTTCCACTATTGTCTTGAAATATCTTGTAATGCCCTCAACTTCCATGGATACACCTTCCAGCTCTTGGTGCTGAGTAAAACAGGACGGGATCCTGCTCTGGTGGCTGGAGAATTGGAGAGGACACATTCCCAGTGGAGTAGCAACGGTGCCTTCAGCGCTCAAGATTATTCTGAGTCTCGTGTTTTTTCCTTTTCTAAGATGCTTTCAGAGGTTTCTAACTTCTCTCTCTGTACATATTTTATCGTCTGTGCTTTTTTTGAAAGAACAAAAAAAGAAAACCAACAAAAACCCAACGGAAGAACTGGTTGGGGGGGGGGGGAAAAATAAAAGGGTTTGTCCTGTACTTTACCTGAGAACCAGCAAACCCCAGGATAATGTTTACATTTATGTTCTCTGTGGTGCAGTCTCATGATCATTATTCCCCAAACTTTAGCATTTTCAGTCTTGCTGCATCGGCTGGGGAAGGAGTGGGCAGGAGCTGTTGCAGTTGGAGTCTTGCAGTGGAATTAGTTTTCCTGGTTGAGGTGGGATTTCCTTGGAAGCTCTGGTGACCTTTCCCTGATTGTCTTACGTTGTTTCCGTGGTCCAAAGTGCAGATGGGGAGTGTGTTCATTCCCACACCCTGCCTGGCCTCTTGTCCTCTGATGGTCTGAATAATGTCTCATCCATTCTGGGTGCTGCCCTAAGTCTGAGTTCATTAAATCCAGCTGAGAGCACTTTTCCATAAAAGAGAAGCAAACTCTTGGTTAACGATTCAAATCACAGTGAAAGTGTGTTAATGGAAACAAACACTCGGTTTGTAAATGCTGTAAAATAGAATATTGGTTTGATTTGGTCTGAACAGACGGATTTTGTGGTGCCTGGGAGAATATCCAGGTGAGCTTTTGGGATTTCTCTTTCACTTGAATCTGCAGTAATTGTTTTATCACTGTTTTGGAAGCTGCTTACGGGTTTGCTGGGTGGAGTATCCAGTTATTTGATAACTGTTTACTTTTTGAACTGTAGAAGTGTCAGGCTTTTTTGCTTTGAAACTATTTTATTTAAACATGCAATAACTGAGAGAAGGAACAGGGTATGGGGAAATGTCTGGTGAGGTGGAAAAGGAGTGGAGTTCTAGGCACACTTGGAAGTGGGAATCATTTTGCAGAGGCAAGGTGAAATGATTTATGAGCCTTATCTAGTATTTTTTTAAAGATAAAACTATATTCAGCACTTTTTATTTATGCTTTTTATAATAGCAAAGCTATTCTTGACTAAGTGGCCGAACTTTTGATTTTCAGAGTGCACAGGTCATGGAATCTGTAATCAAAGTGTACTGAACTACTTTAGATCCACCTTAGGGGTTGGCTTTGAATTTATTCTTTCAATGTATCACCCACTGCAGCTGCACTGCTGCCTCTGAGGCTGCTGCAGCTTTGCTTGGAGGGTTCTTCCTGCTGAGGAGGTTTTTGGGTGTCTGCTCAGCCAAGGCAGAGCTGCATCACCCACCCGAGGCAGGGTTGACTTGGGGCTTGATTTTTTCCTTCCCAAAGCTGCCTTGATCCCAGTTATCCCAACTGCTCTGTGGCCAAGCACAGCCCAGGCTGTGCTCAGGCATCTCAGACTGTTTATCTGAGTGTACAAAGTCCCTTGGCAAGGCTTTTAATCCACGAGCTGTAATTCCCAAACCGTAATTCCCAAGCAGGAGAGTTGAGGCTGAGCAGCAACTGGGGTTTTCATGCTCAGCTGCCGTCACGTGGGTGAATTTTTTTGCTCAGAGCTGAACCAGAACAAAAAAAAAAAAAAAAAAAAAAAAAAGCTGTAAATGCACACTCGGTTCGTTGGCAATAAAACCTCATTCTGCTGATGTAGCTCATTGGAATTAACTCGTTGAAACTGTACTAAAAAAAAAAAAAATAGGGTTTTGCTGATTAGGAGTTTCTAAAACAAGGGGTTTGTGGGTGTCCCTGTGCCTGCAGATCCTTTCCAGTCTACAAAGGGCCAAAATGGAAGCTGGGAAATGAATTTGGTTTTTTTTTAAAAAGTTATCCTCTGGTAGAAATTGAAGTCATTAACAACTGTGTAGCACGGAATAAAGCAGTGTACTGAATTTTTAAAAGCTGAAAAAATCCTGTTACATATTGTTAACTCATTGAGAACTCATTTTGAATATTGTTGAAAACAAAAATATTTTTCAATCCTTTCAATAAAATCTTTTTGTAAAGTTGCATTTGTCGAGCAGCACTTTGACTGGGGGGAGAATATCAAATTTAGGAACACACACAGTTGGTTGTTTGGAGAGCAAATGTCCAGGGTGGGCTTTGACACGTTGTCTCATGGGACAGGGGCATCTGTTTTACTAAAATACACCCAGGGCTTTTCTGAGGGTACCTGTCTGATAACAGTCTTTGCTCAGGAGTTTCAAAATAAATGCTGGATTTGCTGTGCAAGTTGAAACAAATCCTGTGTACAATTAGCTGGGCTACATTAACTGTGTTTTTGAAGGCCCAGGGATAGAAATACAAGGGCAATGATGCCAAATAATCTCTGATAATTTGGATAGCAAGGTTAAGATTGAAAATGCAGTTTAATTGCCTGTTGTGTCCTTGCCTTTGCACGTTCTGACCAAGTTCCAGACCCTTCCTCCCTGGAACTTGTCACTAATTGTGTTTAAGAGTCCTTTGGTTTCCTCATTAACATGTCACCCCTTCCAGCAGCTCCTGCAGGTGCTGGACAAGTGTGAGGAGACACCTTGGGCAGGTAATGGAGCTGCTTTGGAGTTCATTTGTTTTACAGGGCACCTTAGGAAGGATTTTCCATCTTCTGCCTGGCTGGTGACAAACTCCTGCTGTCCCTGGCCAGAGCAGTAACCCCCATTGCTGGGACAGTGACACAAAACTATTTATTACTCTATTTATTGCATAAAACACACTTTCTTCACCTAATTTTGGCCAAGTCCAGGCTTTCTGCAAGATCAGAGCCTTCCCTTCCTGGTCCTGCTGCACAAAAGGCCTGAATGTGCTTGATTGTGTTTCTCCATTTCAGCAACAATTCACAGTCCCCCTGACTTGTGAAGTCACAGCCATCAGCTGCTGCTCTGGCAGCTGGGGCCACACAATTCAACCCCTTCATGCCCCCCTTGGGCCACCTGGAAAGTAGATTTGATTCAGGTTTAGGAGACTGGGATGAGAAAAATACAAATTTTTAATAGGCTTTTGAATTTATTTTATATTTGTATTTATAATAATTATAATATATACTTATATATTTAATTTTATATTTACATTTGTTTTATATATGTTTTATATTATTTTTTAATTTTGTATAGGGTTTTTTTATGGTTTTTGATATAATCCTTGCAGATTTCCCTAATCAGCTGCCATTTTTGAACTGCTTTGTGCAGTGTACAGGATAAAGATGTATCTGAGGACTCTGATGGGAATGGTCACAGCACATTTGAATTCCAGCCCCTTCCCTGCTGGGCTTGTGAGATTTCCCATTGAATTCGTGCTGTTGTAAGTGAAATAATTAGCCACACACATACATATACTGTGCTTGTACTTTATTTAAAAATAGCCAGTAGTTAAAGGTTGCAGTCAATAAAATAGCAAACTTTAAATTACAGTATTAAAGGCTTGTAACAGTCCCCCTGGCGTGGGATGGCACGTTAGTTAGAGACACTGGAGGGAAGCAGGAGATCAGAGGGAGCTGCTCTCGGGACTGAAAAACAAGTGACTGAAATGTTCTGAAGTCAGAGGAGGAAGAAGAGCCCCAGGCAGGGAAGAGCTGTCACCAAACACCAGCAGGGCTTGGCCTTCCCACCGTAAAATCTGAGCTGAACAACAATGGCAGGACAGAGACACCCAGACCTGGTGTATGGGGGTGCAAAGTACTGTCACTGGGGCTGTGCTGGTCCAGGAGAACAGCTTTAACCAGCAACACTCTGCTCTGTCACTGGGGCTGTGCTGGTCCAAGAGAACAGCTTTACACCAGCAACACTCTGCTCTGTCACTGGGGTTGTGCTTTACAGCAGCAACACTCCCGTGCACATCGTGAACCTCCCGTGGTTACAAAGAGCAGGAAAACGAGGAGTGGGAGATGCTCTGTCCTGCCAGAACTCCCCGGGGTGAGAGCACTGACTGCTCTGCTCTGCTGCCCTGCTGTGGCTCTCCAGCACCATCCAGGAATGTGTGTTGTTGTCCCCAGCCCCCGTGGAAGTGGCCCCTTAATTTACCACTCAGGATCAGGTGCTTGGTCAGAGCTGCCCCTGCTGTGCCTTCACTCGGTGAGAGCTGCAGGGGGAGCACGGGGGGCTCAGGAGTCAATCCTTCCATAGGAAGAAAACACTGTGGGCAGAGAGGAAGGTCAGTCAGCACCAAGGCAATGCTCAGCAGTGCCCTTCCTGCCAAAGGAGGTCTGGGTTGTTTAGGATCAGTAGCTCTCTGGGTCCCTTTATCCTGTGTCTCTTTGTTTTTTTAAGAAAAATCACAGGTATCTGAGAGATTTTTCCACTCAGGCCTGATTTTTTTGGATACCAGGATTCCTGGCAAAGTTGGCAGCAAGTTTAACCAGTGTCAGCTTTCCACAGGGAGAAACCAGACATATTCCACTCAAGCTTCTGAGCTTGGTCAGCCCAGTTAACCCTGAGGCTGCAGAGGTGCCTGAGATCCTCAGGGATGTGCCTTTTACTGGGAGCATCCCTATTTTCCTGGCTCTCCACTGTGATACAACAGGCCACAACCTTCCCAGGTAAGTTTTTGAGGTACTTACTTCTCTCTCTCAGCCCCTGGCCAAAGCTGCGGTACACGTGGAGCAGGGCCCAGAACAGGACAGATTTAATGGCAACAGAAATGCAGGAGCCAGTAATGAAAGCAGCTTCCAGAGTGTAGGAATTCCCTTTGCCCCACTCCCTTATCACCTGCAGGAAAAGGGAGACAAAGCAATCAGCACCCAAAACCTGGAAGCCACAAGATGCAACGGAGCACTGAATTTCTGAAAGAAGCGGAATTTGGGGGAAGAAAAACCCAAACTGGTTGCTTTTAAACTTAGTTTCCTGTTTAGATTACGGAGGGTAGAGTGTCCTGCTGTGCTCTGCCAGACCAAACAGGCCTGGAATAACGGGAAGAGCCTGGTTTGCCTGCACTCTGTGACAAACAGAACCCCAAGGACGGGGGTGGCTGCAGCCCCGGGACTTTTATCGGTGTCTGGAGACTGTAGATGTGGAGCAGGAGGAACCCTGGCCACTGCCAGCATTCCAGCCCTTCCCATGGTGAACACTCTGCTCTGCCCTTGCCCTTCTCTCTCCCTGCTCCTTTCACATCTTGTGGGAGGTGCTGGAGCCCCACTGGGAAAGGCTTTATCACAAAATAACACCCAGCACTGGACTTGGGTGGGCTTGTTTTGGCTACATCAGGATCAACAGCTGGGGGTGCTGCCTAAGAAATCCTTTAAAACACAACAGCTGAGGCCCTGGTCAAATGCTCTGGCACCTCTTGAGACCTCCTGAAGGAAGGGAGGCATTTTTGAGGAGCTCTGTGCCTTGTACTGGAAGATTGTGTTGCATTTTTCCCTAATTATTCTGGACACTTTGCCAGAGACCTCCAGAACCTCCCCCTGTGACTAATCAGTTCAAGATCAAGCTGAAATGGTTCCTGTCCTGAAAAATGGATCCTGAAGAGGCAGGATGTGCCTGCTGCTCTCTTTAGATCCAGCAGGAGGATGTTTGGGGCCCAAGGATCCAGCAGGGAAGAGGAGCCCTCCAGCCTTGCTGTTCCCAGCCAGGTGAGTTTGCTGCGTTACCGTGTACAGCAGGTAGATCAGATACACCACTTCAGGGACATTCTGGATCAGAAAAATCCACACCAGGGGTTTCAGCTCCTTCAAAATCTGTAAAATAAGACAAGACACACATACAGCTCTTTAACTCGTTGTTATATACTCTGTAAAAGCTGCAAACAGCTGATTTTTCAGTGGCGTTTCAAGTGTTGGTCAGGCTGAGTTCTCAGCTGTAACTTTGCCCTCCTGGGTGTTTTTTTTAGCAGGAAATACAGTCTCTGCTTTCCAGTGAGCTGGGCCAGGAGTGATGATGTTTTTCTTTGGGTATGCTCAGGTTTTTCTCTAAAACAAGGGAATGTTAACAGCCTGAAAGCTCCCTGTGGCTTTTCCCCCCACCTTTGTTTCTACTTCAGGGAAGTGCAGTCACTGAGGACTGAAATGTCCCACTGAAACGTGGGAGAAGCAAGAGGATTTCACTCTCAGGAGAACTCTGTTTCCCAATTTACCTTGGGACTTGGGAAAGAGGGAAGGGACTGCCATCCAGTCATGTAAAGACATGAGGCCACCTAACTGGAGCAACTCTTTCTTTTCTCACAAGGACAGAGCCTCTTTTAGTGCCTAAAGGCAACTCGAGGAGCAGCAAAGAATTTGTAATCTGTGAGCAGCAACTGCCCAGATGAACTTTGTTTCTGATGGTGAGGGGAAAGTAGCTGAAAGGTTTTTTACATTTCTAATCCCATCAGGAAAACAGGCATCACTCTGATTAGGAGAAAGGTGATTCTGTGTTACCTGAGTTACCAAAGTGTTTTAAAAGCACAGTACTTGGTGCTACCTCCATTTTTAGCAAGGAAAGCCATCAAAACAATTGGAAAGCTGCATTTCAGCTGCCAGGAATTCATGTGAATGTCAAAGCAAACAGCCAAGGAGCCTAAAAAAACATTCACCCCTCAAAAAAAACCCCTAAACTCCTTCCTGGTCATAAAAGACTCACATATCTGATGTACTTTGGCCCTGATTCTGCAATCACTCTTGGAACAGAGTCTCAAGATTTCAGAGGAGGTTCAGCCTGGCTGACGTGAAAAATGACATCTCAAGTTCATAACTCCTCGTTTTAACCTGGACACTACCCCTGAATTTTGAAGAAGCTGCCCCCATAAAGGACCACCCAACCTTTTTAGTGTGGTTTCCTAAGGATTTAAGCCTGTGAAGTCTCTCTGTGTCTGTATAACCCCAGCAATCTGGAGGACTGTTCCCAGTTTCACCCAACCTTGTCAGAGAGGTACAAACATGGAAGTGTGATCCTACAGGTTTCACTTAAGTAGGTGATCGAGGACTGAGAATAAAACTGTGTCCCTCAGACAGGAAAAATGATATTGTGACATTGTTTCACCCTCTCAGGTGAGGCACAGAATTAGAAGTGTTGTTGGGGCTCTGATTTTCTCCATCCTGGCTCCCTTCCCTTGGCAGAGGGGTGTGGAATGGGGTGGCTGTGGCTCCCCAGGATGGGGGGAGTGCTCAGGGTGAGACCCTGCAGGCTCAGGGGTTGTTCCCCTGTGCCTCAGTTGGACACTCACTGCGATGATGCCGATGGTGACCTTCAGGCAGCCCCACAGGGCCCCCGTGGCTGAGATGATGTTGTGCACCAGGGTGATCTTGTGCAGGCTGATCAGCAGGATACACAGGCAGAGCTGGAAGGGGCAGAGATGGGGAAAAATCACGGATGTGAGACCCTGAAGCCACCGAAAAAAACACCTGGCACAAATTCCCAGCAGCGGGAAGTCGGGCACGGGTCTAAAGGGTAAAATCTTTCCTCGTGGGATGGGAAACCAGGACAGAGGAACTCCCCTGTGTGCCATGATACCAACAACAAAGGTAAAGCTAAGATAAGGCAGATAAAGCATAAGGTGGTAAAGAATGAAGGGTAGTGGACAGAAGTGCAGACTTGGTGAACAAACTTGGGGTTCACTTCCCGTGTCTGTAACTTCAGTTGTTACCTCACCCCCCTGCCCTGCGGGGCAGGTTCCCCTCTCCCACCCCAGGATCACTTCCCCAAGGGTAGGACACAGCTGGGAAGCAGCAGCAATGTTGTGCAGGAATAACTTTTCCTATTTTAGGAGGCTGTGGGTGGCTTGGAGCTTCTGGATGTTACTGTTTTTATGGACAAACCTCCCAAAAGTTTCAGTTCTCCTTTTGTGCAGGACAACGATAAAACATGTGTTGATTCATTTTTATGGATCTTACCTGAGCTTCCCTACAGAAACCTGGAGATATGACCATTATAATAAAGGTAAGACAGAGGCAGGATTGCTCTGGGGAGTTAATAATTAGCTCAGCTTGTCCAACTTATTACTAATAAGAGGGGAAAGAAAAGGGAAGGTGGGGGCCAGAGCTGTTTACCTGTGCCTGGAGATCAAAAGTGAGCATGGAGAAGCAGAGGTTGAGCATGAAGTACTGGGACTGAAGGCTCTCCAGGGCACCCCCCACCCGGAATGCCATCATGCTCTGGCTCTGGATGAGGATGATGGCACAGATCACATCGAAGGAACCAACCAGCAGGATCAGCACAAAACGGGCCTGGGGGGACAGAGACAGGGCTGTGACGGGACAGGGGTGACCTGGGACCTTCTGACTGGGAATAAAGGAGTGCAGGAGTAAGGAAACCAGGCTGCCCATTGAGAGAGACTGGTTCTAGGCCTCCTGTTGGTGTAAACCAACCGGGGGAACCTTCCCCCCTGATTCCAGTGAGTTATTCCCAATGCTGGACTTGTTAAATTTTAGGAGACACAGGTTTTGTCTGGGTTGTATTTACCTTGCTGGCATTCACACTAAACCTCTGCTGCTTTAAAGGTGGCTGAAGTGGCAAAACACCCCTCATAATTACACTGATGAGAGAATATTTACACTAGAAATGATTCCTGCTCAGAAAGCAGGAGTTACAGTAATTCAAGTTACTGTTAGACTGGTAAAAAAGCCAGTCCTTAATAGTTCTCTTCACATCTTCCACAGCAGGCTCTACTCTGAGGTTCTTGTTTAATATATAAACTGATGACTTGGCTGCACATCTTAAAGGAACCTGTATTGTTTGATGTCTGTTCCTTATTGACTCAAACAAACAACCCAATTTGCTGCAGATAAGCCTGTTTAATTATATGTACAATTGATAGATAAACTAAATTGGAAAATTCTCCTCTGCTCCAGCTTCCTAGTTTGGTTGCCACCTCTCCTGTTGAAGAATAATTTTTTGGGTGACTTCACAGCAAGGAACTTCCTTCTCCAATTTGTGATAAGAATGTGATTAAAAAGGAAGGACTTCTGGGAAGCACAGCAAGGGGAAGTTTAACTACAGATCTCAGTAAGGCACAGAATACAGTCTTTGTATCACATTTAATTTGCTATGAAATGCAAATAAGATAACCTGCAGTGGCAGTATCTTCCCCCAGCTTGTGGTATCTTTGTTTCCCTGCAGCAGGTTCCCATAAATCCCATAAAAACACAAGGCTGTGTTTATGGAGCACTAATGGCTGTGTCCTTGCCTATGGACTTGAGATTCCAGTTCTATCCACAGGTTAAATTTATGTGACTTTAGGCCAGACATTTTATAGATGGAAATCTGAAGCAGAGCAGGTAAAGTGAAGGGTGTTTGATACTTATGTTACTTCCAGATTCTGCCACAAAGAAACCCAGGGAACAGCTCAGAGGAGCAGACCTGCAGCTGTGGATGTGCACACTCTGTTGTTCAACAGGAATTAATTCAGATTAACTGACATTTCTGTCAGCAATGCCCTCACCACAGACATCCTGCCTTTCTAACGACGGGTTTTCACACCCAACACGTGGGGAAAGGAAAAGTGAATGAAAACCAGGAGAGACTGACCAGGAGCTTTGGCTTTTGCTCAGCAGGGAGGACAGTGAAGTTGGTGATGGAGCGCAGCATCACGAGCAGGATGGAGAGCACGAAGACGATGAGCTCCTGGCGGTTCTCCTGCAGGATCCCCCGGCTCACATAGTACACACAGAACACTGGGGGGACAAGGCAAGGGCAGTGCCAGGTGAGGACACACTGAACACCAGGAAAACTTCCCAGTGTGCTGGATCTGGGTGCCAAAAACCTGAGCAGAACCACGGAGCTGAGGCTCCTCGGTCCGGAGCCTTTGCTCCTACCAAGGAGCCTGAATTGGAGGCTTAAAATACTCTCCTCAAGACATTAAATAATTAGTTAGATTTTTAAATGCCTTGTGAAGTAACTCTTTGCAAATGGCAGTGTATCAGCCACCCAAACTGGCAGCTGGGCTGTGTTAATCTACAAACACCACATTGATCATGTCCAACTGAATATCTGAATTAAATGAGGCAGCACCATTTTTGTTAAAGAACTGAAATGACATCATCTTCCCAGGGAGAGGAATTCAGGTGAGTAACAAGTAGTTTACTACTCACACCCCCCCCCTACAGTGTTGTCTGGCCACTGCACATGGTTTGTGTGTTGAGCTGAACTTGGACAGACTGGATTCAGTTTACTTTTATTGTGGAAATTTTGAAACACCCCACCCTGCAAAATAACTGCAAAGGCCTGAGTTCTGCTCTTATAAAACACATCAACCCCCCTCAGTCACCTGTCACCATGAACTCTGTGCTGGTCTGGCAAAGATTAAATAAGGAAAAGGCTTTGTTCTTTTATAGGATGCTCCTGCAAACACTGGGTTGTTCTTCCCACAGCCAAAATAACAATAGATTTCTTTTTCCAGAGTGCTGCTTCCTGGATTCCACAAAATTCCCCCCACTTTTGCAAGGCTGGGACATGGGGACAAAGTGCTCTCCAAGTCTTCAAAGGAACACAGTAACCTGAGTCTCTAAACAAACCTTCAGTGACTGAACTTCCTTTTCCAGTGCTGTTAACAGGGACTGAGAGAGTGGAAAATGATTGGCAAGTGACAGAGTGAATCACGGTATTTTTTGGACATGCTCTTGACCTCAGGAAGACCTCAAAGACTTAAGGCAGCATTTCCTTGTTTTGCAAATTCAGCTGCTCAATCAGAAGAAATTTTGCACAAATAATTTGAAAATAAGCTCTGAATATCAAGCTTTTTGCAGAGGTGGCACATGCACGTTTCTGAAATACAGGACACCCCTTGGTTTTGGGGGTGAACATTTTTCAACAGATTAAATTCTCAACTCTCCCATAAATTAAATATCTAATTGTAAACCCAAGACATTGTTACGGCCAGGGCACCTATTTTTCTTTAAAGAAACACCTGTCCTGTCAGTCTTTGTCTACCACACAGAAAACATGGTTTTGGGGAAAAACAGATGGGCAACTATGGTTTCAACTTCCCGGGTCTGTCACTGAATTAATATGAAGGTTCTTCAGGCTGTTCTAACATTGCAGCTTTGTGAGTCCTGTGTGAAAAGCTGCTCATTAAATCAGAGGTTTGGAATTAAAGCATTGTTGGGATTTGTCTAATTATAGAATCTGGAACAAAGCTATTGTCTTTGTTCCCTCTGGGTGAGAGCTGGAAGGCAAGGACTGTGTTACACCCACAATCTCTCCTTTTTCACACTGTTTTGGCAGCCAAGGCCTGCTAAAGCCACTTCCTGAAATAGTTTATTATTTTCATGGTAATTTCTGTTTGATACAAATGGACCCAAGAATACGAAAAAAAGTTTCTGCTGAAGCTCTCATTGGAAATATCCAAGGAAGTTTGGATCTCGCTTCCAGTGGGGGAAAAATATTAGACAAAAAAGAGATTTTTTTTAAAAAATGAAGTTCTTATTTTAATAAAATACTTCAGGTAAAGCAACATCCTTGCAGGAACTTAGCACAGAGAGATACCTTCACATTTTCTTGTTTGAGATCAGACATTAAAATGGGAACTGGAAGCTTTTCTGGTACAGCTGAACATTCAGCACCTCTCACACAAAAAACTTCAGTTGCTGCTTAATTATACCTTGGGGGAAAAAATGTATTTGTTTCAAAATCCCAACAGTTTCTTACCAACTCCAACCAACTGGATAAAGGAAATGGTGAAATCCTCCTCGGTCTGCCGGACCAGTGTCTCTATGGTGAGCCCTATGACACTCAGCAGAGACAAGATAGTGACACAGAAGTAGATCTTCACAGGGAATGAGAGCTCTGAACATGGCTTTATCTGGAAAGGAAGAACATTTCTGAACATGTAACGCAGAATAAACTCGTTGCTGTTCCTAAAAAAACACATTAGGGCAAGTTGGGTAAAGGAGGCAGTGCAGTGTCCCTTGGGAAAAGGAAGAGAAATCCACCAACTGAACTGAAAGTCCAAAATTGCTGAGGAAGGGAGAAGTCTAACTTTATTGCATAATAATCTCAGCCTAGATTGCCCTGGTTTATACCTCCAGCCTTTCTGCCTCACAAAGGTCGTGGCATTATAATCCCATCTCCTGGCCTGGAGATGCCAGTGACCACACATCCCCCTGTCAGAGCATGGGGGTGTCCAGCAGGCAACATATTCCCAGACTTTCAGTTTTAGAGAATTGTAAATACAGGGTCGGGGTTCTCAGTGAGCTGAGGTCCTTATTTTCTTTCACTAAAATATTTCAGGTGAAGCAACATCCTTGCAGGAACTCAACACAGAGAGAGATGACTGCTCCCATCTCTGCTCTCTGAGCAGGGACAGGACCCGAGGGAAGGGCTGGAGCTGTGGCAGGGCAGGGTTAGGTTGGATCTCAGGAAAAAAGGTTCTTCCCCCAGAGGGTGGTTGGGCACTGGAACAGGCTTCCCATGGAATGGTCACTTCCCAAGGAATGGTCACTTCCCAAGGCTGCCAGAGCTCAAGGAGCATTTGGACAACGCTCTCAGGGACAGGGTGGAATTGTTGGGGTGTCAGGGCCAGGGCTTGGACTGGCTGATCCCTGTGGGTCCTTTCCGACTCAGGACATTCCATAATTCTGTCACTCTCTATCAGGATGTTCGTTCTGTGACAAGCCTTGGGAGGGCAGACACCTGAACTCCCCGCTCCACCTTAATGTGGGCACGGATTCGAAGCACACTGTCCCATTCCCATTCCATTTCCCATTCCTCCCAGGCAAGGTAACAACGCGGTGACACAGGGACCCTGTAACCCCCGGCAGGGACGGACTCCGCGGGGATGCCGGTGGGGCGGGAGAGGCACCCGGGGCTGGGCCAAAAGCCGCGGGAGGGGGTTGTGTGTGCGCGATCCCGCGGGGTGTCGGTACTCACGGGCCCGCAGGGCGTGGGGATGAGCTGCCGGTGTCGCGGGGTGAGGTTGGGCAGGCTGGGCAGGCTGGGCAGGCTCGGCCCCGCCGGGCCCGCGGCGCCGCTGCGGGGACACAACGGGACGGTCACGGGGTCGCACCACGCACCCGCGGGGAGAAAGGGGGGAGGCCGCCCGCGCCCTCCCCACCCCCGGCACTGCCCCGCCGTGGGCAGCGCGGCGGGGCCCCCCCCCCCCCGCTCCGCGCGTGGTGCCGCCCGTACCTGCCGTCCATGGCCGCGGCCGCGCTCCCGCCCCGCTCTGACGGGACCTACATGGCTGCGGAGGGGCCCCCGCAGCGCTTCCGGGGGACACCCGGCACGTCACTTCCCCGGCACGGCCGGGGAGGGCTCCCGAGGGTCCCGAGGGGCGTCCCCGCCCCGTCCGCCCCCGCGGGCCATGGAGGGCTCGGCGCGGCGGGGGCTCGGCGCGGTTCTCGCTGTGCGTGTTCCCCCGCCCCGCTCCTTTGGTTCGTTTCCTCGTGGGTTCGGTAAAATGGCCTCCCCCGAACGGCCGCGGTGACAAAGGGGCGAGCTCGGGGCGCTTCTCCGCCCCGCCGGGGCTGCACCGGGCACCGGCCCCTCGGGGCGGTGCGGGGCCGGGCCGGACCCGCCTCCCCGCCCGGCGCTCCGGGCGCGGCACGGGAAGGGATGGGATGGGTGGTGGCCGCATCCCCCGGGGAGCCGCATCCCCCGGGAACCGTATCCCGCGTTTGCCGGAGCCACGGGAGCGGCGGCGGCGTGCGGGGAGCCCCCAGGTGCCGGGCGGGATGCGCTGAGGGAGGGAGGGAGGAAGGGCAGGGAAGGAGGGAGGGCAGAGCGGGCGCTGATGGAGAGCAGCATCCCCGGCCGGCCCTGGGAAGGGGGATGTGGGTGCTGGAGGTCTCTGGAAAGCCCTTGGGCCCGGAGGGGCGGGCGGAAAGGCCGCGGTGCAGCTCCTGTGCCGGGGATGCTCGGGATGCTCCGAGCCCTGCGGGGACTGGAAGTCGAGCGGGAATTGCCCGCGTGGGGCTGGTTCGGAATGGGCAGGGAAGGCTCTAGGAGTGGGTGACCAGAAACAGCGCTGGAATGCGAGAAAAGTCTTGAAGCTATTTCAATCTTTCGGCATCCTCTCTGTGTGGGAGCTGTTAATAGTTTTGGTATTGTGCTTCCAGCCTGTGTTTATCGTTACAATGTAATGAAGCTGTTAATAGTCACAACTCGCTGAATTCTGTGCTGTTTGCTGTGCTGGGGGCAATGTTTGGGTGACCTCTTGTGTAACAGATGAAGGGTCACGGACACAAGTCTCTGTTTTTTCACTGTCATATTGGCCTTAAGCACTTGCAGCATAATTGAGCCTTAGTTTTTCTTGAGCAAAGCTGACTTCAGAGGGTTCTTTGTGGATGTGTTTTCCACCTTGACACAACGTTGTTACTGGCAGTGTAGTTGAAGGTTGGAGGAGATACAAGGAAAAGGCAGTGCATGGTGCTGGTTCTTTTGAGCTGGAGGATTGAGGCTTTGTGTGTAATCCAAGAGAAACAACTGCCAACCACTGCCACGTTTTCAGCTGTTGGTAAACATCAGCTGCTGGTTGGCCTTGAGGGAGGAAGACTGAATTAGTTCCAGATGGAGAACTCTTTCAGCCCATTTAGACTTTCCAGATGATTTAAGCCAGCAGGTCAGTAATTTAGGGGAGTAGTTCTGTTCTTATTTGCTGTTCTGCTTCCTGCCTTGTGTGGAATCAGCGATATCACACCTGATAGCCCAGCGCTGCCGAGGGTGGGAGTTTCATGGTGCTTGATTGCTTTTGGTTTTAATTGACTTGTATAAACAGAAAAGAGACTGAAAAAGCTGTGCTAACTAACTATTTTGAATGTAGAGGGGCATTTTTTTTAAGACCTGAAAAAGGAGGAGGAGCCAAGAATCCATTTTTCTTACCAAATTCTCTTGGAGAATGTGTCTCCTCCTTCAAAGTTCTGTGTTGAACTGGGTTAACACAAGCACGGGGTTTGAGTGTGTTGGAGGGTCTCGTACCTTGGTTTGCTGCTGTCATGATTTCCTGGGAAAATGGAAAGAGATAAAGGAACAGGGATGGAAATCTTCAGTGCTTGGCTGTAACAACAGAACCAGAGAATGTGAGGAATGGAAAATTTCACTGCAAAGCAGCTGCTCTGTAGGATATCGAGACTGACATGAGATACTTAACTCTTTAGTACCTCTTTATGATTTATTTGAGACCACATTGGGCAAAAAAAAAACCTGAAGAAAATAATGTGTCCTGTTCACCTGTTTACATGCTCCCAAAATCAGGGCAGGTGCAGTAGCTCTTGGTACAACTCTTGTATTTCTCTTGCCATTGAATGTTGGTTGTGCTGCTGTTGTTTGATGCACTGTAGTATTATGATCTCATTTCAGATGGCTTTTCCAAGATGTCCAGTGATTAACTTCCCCACAAGAATCCCTTTTTAAGGCCCATTGTCTTCTCTGTCCACCAAATGTGCTTCTGGAGACAAGCGTTTAAAATGTAATTTCCCCGAGTGCTTGTTCACTGAGGAACAAAAGAGCTCCAGTCCCTCAATTCATCTGCATCTGATTCATCCAATTTTCACTTGAAAGCTGCAGAAATAAAAGGGATAAATTCAAAGTGTGTTTTGATGTTGCAGATCAGCTGCTCAGGTGCAATTTCTTTGTTTCTCAACACAGACTTTGAACCCGTTGAGTGGCACTGGCTGACCCTGCCTGGCTGGGGAGGGATGAAGGTCACAGGGGGGTTTTGGTGCTCTCTGGACTCTGCAACTGTAACTTGCCACATTTTGTGCCATCTGTGAAAGGAGAAAGCTCTAGATGCAAATGATTTAATGCCTTTTTTCTGTCAGATCTATTAAAAAAGGCTTTAGGAATTATTGCAAGTACTGATATTGAATTGCAAGGTGCAGCAGTTCTGCGTGGCAAAATAAGTAATGTTGCATTATTTACAAGTAATTAAATAGAGAACAAGTCTGTTTGGAAAGCTCTTGGACATATTTTCCTTCTTTGTTCACCTAGGAATTCACATTTACCAGGATAATTGTGTTTGTGATTACTGGGAGTCACAGTCCTTGATTATTGATTGCTTATTTGACTCGGGTTGATAACAGATTAATTAGTACTAAGGGTACAGGCTCCTGCCTGGATTTGCTGGGTTGGGAATATTTTTCTGTGGAGTGGTTAAAGAAGACCTTAAACTGAGATCAAAGACGCTGAAGAATCTGGAAGAGGAGTTAGATATAAGTGGAAAGGCTGTGTTGATGTGCTTTAGAGGAGAAAGAACTTAAAACCACATGAAGTCTGTTGTGTGTGTGTACGTGCTATTTTAGAATTAGAAAAACCTCCCTTAGATAAGTTCTTGGTGCCTAATCTTGGTATCACGATATGAGGAGTTCAAAATCCAGTCTTGAAAGACTACACAAGTCTTTTTGTCTTTGACAAAGTGCAGGAGAAATGTGGTATCTTTGCTGCATTAGGGATTTAAAATGTCATTCAGAGCATCCATATTTTTTCCTTCTCTCCCTCTTAGGCAGAAAACATGGAACAGGCCACATGAAGAAGCGCGTGGAGTTTATTTTAATACAGGATGTTCTTTGGAGGACCAAGTGCAGGTCCTTTCCAGGCCATGGGAGATGAAGCATTAATCACATGATATTTTTGTTAAGTCAAGTGCTGTGCTAAGTCAATGTTGATTCGTGCCGAGGACAAACATTAATTCCTTAAAGTCACCATGTCGACCGTGGCAAGCGCTCAGACTCCGGAGGCACCGAGTCCTTCGCCCCTGGAAGAAAAGCCAAAGGGAAAGTCCCTGTTCCACCTGGGCTCCCTCTTTGCTCACAGGAGTGAGAAGTTTGTGATAGCTCGCAGTGACAGTGTGCCGGAGGAGAACGTCCTCAAAATCACCATCACGGAGACCACGGTCATCGAGTCCGACCTGGGCATCTGGAACTCCCACGCTCTCATCTACCTCACCTTGTGGTTCTTCTTCAGCTTTTGCACTCTCTTTCTTAACAAATACATCCTCTCCTTGCTGGAAGGAGAGCCCAGCATGTTAGGTACGCCTTCCCTTTGCACTCGAATGCCAGGAGGATATTTATATAAGGTTTATTTGACTGGAGCAGGCTCCACAGGCACGGGGTGGGATTGTTGGGATCCTGGGCAGGGCCAGGAGTTGATGATCCTTGTGGGTCCCTTCCAACTCAGGATATTCTATGATTTGACAGTACCAGATCCTCTTATATGAAGTTGAGGGACAAAGTGGTTCAACTGAAGTGAAAAAGGCCTGGCTGGGAGATGTGGGGAGGGATCTTGGGGCTGGGAACTCGTGAGGTGTGATTTTGTTCTTTGAAGGGATTTCTGACACTGTTCTTTCCTCCACTTGCTGGAAGATGAAACTTTGGTCATAGAGAAAAGTCCTACAGGAGTTTGTCTGAGAAATTTCCTGAGGTTGCTTGATTTGTCATGTTCCACCACCTTCTGACTGATTTTATTTCTCCTCTCATTCTCTTTAGGTGCTGTTCAAATGCTTTCAACCACCTTCATTGGCTGTATAAAAATGTTTGTCCCCTGCTGTTTGTACCAGCACAAAACCCGCATCTCTTACCCCCCCAATTTCATCATGATAATGCTCTTTGTTGGATTGATGAGGTAAATGGGTAAATATTTCCTGCACTGTATTTGCTAAGATTTCCTACACTAATATTTGTGATTTTTTTTCTGAACAGGAGCTGTATTTTCATGGCTCTCTGCCTTTTTATTCTTGATTAAAAAGCGTTTGGAGTATTTCCCCCCACCCACAAAAATCACATTTTTGGC